ATAGGAGCTCCTGAGGGGCCAGGGCAGGAGAATAAGAATTCATGACCAGTCTGGGCTACATTGTGAGAATCCCTCCACTCCTGCTCTGTGTATATATCTACTCTACAATGCTTTTGTTATCTGGGCTGACGGAGTAAACATTGGTTAGTACTATGTAGTTAGTGCCCTGCATCTGTCAGATTCTATATTTGCAGATTCAACCAACCACAGATAAAAATAGCTGACAAAAATATATCTGCTCTGAATATGTAGTGTGTTCTCACTAGACTTCTTCTCTTATTATTCCTTACACAATATAGTATAACAATGCTTTATATGGCATTTTGTTATACTAAGTATTATCAACAAGTGATTAATTAAAGTCTTGGAACCATGACCCTGGACACCAAGGGATGACTAGATAGTACTACACCCTTTGAAAGGCAATATTTTGGCACATACTTCTGAGTGCCAAACAAGTCCTATTTTAGTATCATGCTTAATTAAAACTCATGCTTTTTGAACTTAGTTTTTGTGACTAGATGGTGTTATTATAGACGTTGCCGTAGAAGAACGCTCTCAGCACAGTTACCAGGGGCACGCCATGGGACTTACCAGGATCTATGAATCCAATGCCGTTGCTGCTCAGGTTTAATTTCTTTAGTTCGTGAACATCTTCAAATTCCTTGGCTCGGAGCTGGCTGATTTTGTTGTATGACAAGTCAAGCTTAACAATGTCTGGAGGGATGTTGTTTGGAACTTTCTTCAACTCTGGAAAAATGAAGTGTTTAGGTTACAGGTTTTTTGGCTCCTATTTTCTATTAAAGCCATAAAGCTGCAGCGCCAGCTTAGTGGGGGAAGAGAGAGCGGGAGGCAATCCCCAGGGGGAGGGTCAGAGACGCGGAAGACCCCCCAGGTCACAGCTGAGGCTGCTGAGTCATTTGGGAAGCAAAGAGACTCCATCCTGGTGACCCGAGTTGCCCATCAGGAAACATTTTGAAAGGCTGGGCCTGGCAGTGCACGTTGGGGACAGGGGCAGGAAGATCAGCGCACATTCGAGGCTGCACAGGACACAGTGGGTTTCAGGCCAGCAGAGAGCTGCAGAATAAGACCAGGCAGAAAGTGAAAAGAGAGTGTGCTGGTCAGTTTCTATCACCTTTACACAAATGAGTCACCTGGGAGAGGGGCCTTGACGCGGAATTGCTTCCATAAGATTGGTCTAAATGCATGTCTGTACATAGAGATTAATATAGATTAATGATTGATGTGGAGGGGCCCAACAAACTGTGGGTGGTGCCACTCCTGGGCAGGTGGTCCTGGGTTGCTTGAAAAAGCAAGCTGGGCAAGCCATGGAAAGCAAGCCGACAAGCAGTGTTCCTCCACAGTCTCTGCTTCTGCTGCTGCCTCCAGGTTGACTTCCCGCGATAATGGATAAACTCTCTCCTTGCTTTTGGTCAGGGCTGGGGGAGCTCTCAGGGAAGCTGCTGTCTCCCCCTTGTTCTTTCTCTCCTAAGGAGTTGCCGTTCTGTCCCGGGTTCATGTTATCCATCATTTTAGGCATCCTCTGCCAATAAGTGATCTCAGGCTCTACTCTCATAAATACCACACTCATGACCTTCTGATCTTTCAAACCATGGCAACAGGCCCCTAGTTTTCCAGGAGAAAAACCCAAGGCCCCCAGAGGATGCCTAAAACAACAGATAGCACCAAATCCTGTACACACATGCCTGTGGCAACATTTACTCTGAAGTAGGCACAGTAAGGGATCAGCAACAATGTCACACAGGAAAATAGGGCAATTACAAGTTTGCTTTAATAAGTTGCTAAAACCTTACAAGTGGTTTATTTCTAGAATTTTCTACTTAATATTTTCAGTTCCTGGCTTACCATATGTAAACTTAAATTTAAAAAAAAAAAGAAAAAATAATCAGGGAAAGGAGGCTCTGTATCTGGTTTCTGATTTCGTTGGATTCTGTAAAATTCATGCTTGCTTTGCCACTCCGACTCCCTTTTCACCCACATGGTTCCCAAGTCCTTGCAATGGGGTTCACTCTGGCACCCCCAAAGCTTCCTGCTCCAGCGGTAACCAGATTCTCAGAAGAGCAAGCTAGCCGCAGCAGCATACCAGCAGGAGTGGGTCATCTTCTCAAAGGCAACAGGAAATCAAGGCTTGCCTCATCTTAGCTTCTGCTCCTTATGTTTCTATCATGCTTTTCAGAATTTGTTAATCACACTGACATCACATTTGCCATGAGACTTGCCCTTCCTCTTGGTCTTTTGCAAGACTGAAGAGGCCTGGATTAGTTTTCATTAGGGTATCTGTAGCCTATGGAGGGAGAGAGACTTGTTTTCATGAAGGAAAATCAGAAGCAACAATAAAATGGCCAGACTGACTGACTTCTGCAGAGTAGGGTGGCTCAAGGGCTTTCTGAGAAAACAGAAATTCTTAGAGCCAGAAACTGTAAAACACATTTATGAAATGTGCTTTTCACTTATCCACACTGCCTCTTTTGGTACAGAATAGTTGAGTTGTGAATAGTTCCAAAGAAATATTAATTAAACACAACAACTCTGGGACTTAGATTTCTTAGCCTCGGGTATATTTACAATCATAGTGACTTGGACCT